TCCTTCTGGATCTAGGTGACCTCATTCAGAATAATTTTTTCTAGTTCCATCCTTTTGCCTGCAAATTTCATGATGTCATTTTTTCCACTGAGTAATATTCCATTGTGTAGATATACCACATTTTCTTTATCCATTCTTCAGTTGAGGGACATCATTTCACATTCTTAAGCCTTTTACTATTATCAGATATTGCTGACTCAACACCCAATCACAAAATCCTATATAGAGTTGGGACCAATATTTTTAAAAGCTCTATTGTGTAGTGTTTATAAACCATAACTCCACCAGTACATAAAAGTGATAATAACTATGCTTAGATTCCAGAGTGGAGAATTAAATGGAAAAGCATCTGGAAGACTTAAGAGTGTCACTGGTTTATAGTGATTTATAAATGTTGTATATTTTCCCAAGGCCAATGTAGTAGCAATTAAGATATGCCTACCACAAATAATATTTCATTACTTTTGGAGTTTACCTTTTACCTGGGTGATATATTATGAACAAGAAATAGATGCATAGATGAAAGGATGGATGGATGGATGGATGGATGGATGGATGGATGGATGGATGGATGGAGAGTAAGCAGACAGATTGAAAGATACAGAAGTTGTCACCAGTAGATAATCAGGGTAATGGATTATAAAAAATTTGCATCCCAAAACTACAACATTAGGGTAAGCTCTCAGATTGAATGTCCTATATGCTGGGACTTCTGGCACTTTGGAGATTGAAGTCTTTTACCAGAGTTCCTGTCTTGGAAATAGCCATGGCTGCAGAAAGTACTATAACCAAAGGCCATTAGACCTCTACAGGGTCAGTCTGAATTGGTAATTGATTATTGTCAGTATACAAATCCCAAGCCCAACCCTGAAGGCCTGCTTTTAATGTACTGCCATGTAATGTTTCCCATGTCCATTCTTGCTTTTAGTCTGTCTCACAGGTGTTGATCATGCAGGTATATAATCACAGACAAGATTTAGGGAAATTAATGCTTCACTGTACCAAGGACAGTTCAGCGTTCTCTGCATGTGGCAAAGAAGAACATAAAGATAGCAATCTATTTTTACTTGAATGTTACTGTCTTAATTCATATTAGGCTCCTAACCTTTTACCTATTAGAGCTTTGTACCATTCACACAAATTCAAACCTAGTTACAAAAAGCAGATATATGTCATGTTGTTATTATGAAAAATAGTTTTGATTTTATGAACCCCAAAAGAATTCTTAGCCAAATGAATTAGAAATTGATAAGGAACATGGTGTGACCTCTGAAACAACATGTACAAAGTAGTTCAGACTTCTCTCACACACCAGTATCTCAATTTTTAAATGACAGTGGTTACCATTGGTAGAAAATAAATTGCCATGCAGTTGATAGGAAAGCAGTTAATCCAAATCTCTTCCAGTGTTAATAACAACATTAAAATAAACCATTAAAAACTTCCATGCACAATCACTAAAACATGGAAGTAATTCAAATATTCATTAAATTTAAATGAATAAAATGTAGAGATAAAACAATGATATGTGTTACAATGCAAAATAGTGTCAGAAACATTAGGGTTCAACATGAAAGAAGATAGTCATAAAAAGTTGTGTGTTTCTGCTTAGAAAATATTGAGAGCAGGTAAAACCCCATTGTGGTAGAAAGTAGGTTGGTGGTTGCCTAGCGTGGTAGTATTATTTTAGCATAACAGGGTATGATGGTCCATATGTGGTTCTCTTGGGAATGATGAAGAAAATTCTTAAGTTCTCTTAAGTTGTATGCTTTAGAAGGATAAATGTTATACTATGGGAATTCTGTGTTGCTAAAACCATTGAAAAGAATGGGACGCAATGTTGGTGAAGATATGATAATAAAATGTGTAAATAGCATTGATGGGAATGTAAGCTGGTGTAGTCATTTGAAACCCAGTATGGATAATCCTCAAAAAACTAAAATTAGAACTGTCATAAAAACCCACTCCTAGGTTACAACCTGAAGGACTCTAAGGCAGCATAAAATAGAGACACTTCTGGAGGTACCTTCATTACAGCACTCTTCACAATAGACCCATCATAGAGGTAGCATAGGAACCCATGGATGTATTCACAGAAGAGAAAACATGGTGCATATAAATAATGGTACTTTCTTCAGCCATTAAACAAGAATGAAATCAAGGTAAATATTCCAGAATATGGGTGGAACTGAAGATTATCATGTTAAACAAAATTAGTTACTATCAGAGTGGGAAAGATGGCTCAGTCAGTAAAATGCCCACATAAGGGATCTTGGGTCGTAATCCTAGCACCCACACGGAGGGCAAGGTAGAGCAACACACACCTGCAAACCTAAGACTACAGAAGCAAAGCTGGGAGGTAGCTCACATGTAGCTCACTAGCTAGCCAATGTAGTTGAATCAGTAAGTTCCAGGTTCAGTGGGTGCCTTGACCTCAAAATAAAAAAAAAAAATTTTAAAAAGATGGACAGCAATGTCAACCTTACATACACATGTGAGTGTGCATGCTTGTGCGCGCGCGCGCGCGCGCGCACACACACACACACACACACACACACACTGGCCAGTCTTAGAAACATAATATTTCTTCTCATATATGAAATTTAAGAAATAAAATCAAAATTCACAAAACCACAAAACCATTAAACTAGAAGGGAATCTATAGAAATTGGTATGGTACCAATAATGAGAAGGAAAACAAGTAATACACATAAATAATAGAGTGGTAATTATTAAAAAAAATACCTTGTATATGTGTATGTAAAGGCCATCGGGAAGCCCACTTTTTTTTTACAGTTCACATTTGCTATTTAAAAAAAGACATATTTTTTAAATAGTAATTTTGTTCTTTGTGCCACCCTCAGGATTGATTGGAAGTTACATTTCCACATGACTTTGTGTGCCTGTTTATTTTTGTAGGTATTTAGAGTAACAACATGTTTTTCAGAAAACAGAATTTTCTGATTCATTGCAGTTATAAAATGTCATGTAATAATAACAAAGACTCGTTAACTATTAACAATTATTAAAACAATCCAGGAAGCGCCTGTGTATTTTGTAAGTGAGTCTCATCAAAACCGTGGGTTGGATCACTACACTTGTACGAAGAAGGGAATGAGGCTTTCCTTATTTCCTCATGGTCCCTGAACTCTTCCGACTGTTTAGAGATTCTGCCTGATGATAACTATGATCTGGGAGAGCTTTACTTTGTGAAAAAGAATTGCCTTTAAAGTGTAGTGCAATCCTTTCCAGAAAAAATAGAATTTATTTTTTTTTTTTTTTTTTTTTTTTTTTTTGGTTTTTCGAGACAGGGTTTCTCTGTATAGCTTTGCGCCTTTCCTGGAACTCACTTGGTAGCCCAGGCTGGCCTCGAACTCACAGAGATCCACCTGCCTCTGCCTCCCAAGTGCTGGGATTAAAGGCGTGCGCCACCACCGCCCGGCTGAATTTATGTTTTCAATTCTCAAGTTTTGAGATTCCTAATAGCAGAGAGGTAGGTAGAACACATGATAGAAGAGGCTGATTCCATCTAACAGTGAACTGTCTATGAAGATGGATTGGGAACATAAAGGGCTAATAACACCAAGGATTTTCTTTGCTAGTTTATCTTTTATACATTAATTATACAGAAGAACCTACTTTAATGGACACAGTTGGTGTGAGGAAGCTTCTTTTAAGAGAAGCTTCCTTTCTCTTCTCTGCACTTTGGAGATATAATCCAAGAGATATTAGAGAGATAAGATGATATGATAAGGCCAAGTTTGCACCATTGATATGTAAGCTTATTCTTCTAAATAATCAACGGGATAGCATTGTGGAGGAGGCAGTGTCACTTTGAGAGATGCAGTGGGTCTCATCACCCTTGTGTCTAAGCCACTCTGTGGTTTTTATCAAATATTTATGACAAACAGCTTGTAGCACAAAAATATCCTTATGTGTGTTTCTACTATGTAATATAGCCTTAATGTCTTTATACACACACACACACACACACACACACACACACACACACACATATACTTTTAATATCATTCATAAATCAATTTGGCCTGGTGTATAAAAATGACTTGAACCTTTTGTGCTTCTCTGTAACTTGTCAAAGACAACAGTTTCCAAACAATTAGTAAGTTAAAGTTAATATGCATTATGTTTATTTGTATTTACATCTCATCTGATATCAAGACCACTATCTGCATTTGACTTTGCCTGTACTTGTGTTTTGCACAGAATACTGTTGGACTGATTTTACTGTTTTGTAGATTATGCAGCATTGTTTTTTACTCTAGGTGAGAGAATAAGATGTCATGTGTTGGTTGTTGTGTAACACTACCCTGCCTGACATATTATTTACATTGTGGTATTTAGTATAATTCTTCCTGCCAAGAGCTAAAGTAGCTTCTTTCCAGTCAACTTTTAATGCTTCCTTTTATATTTGCCCAATATATTTGAAAAAAAAAACAAATCTAGTTACTTTCTGTTTACTTGTGTTTTTCTATTTTATCTGCCGATTTCATCAATCCATTTCTTGTTTATGTATCTTTGTTTTTTCTTGAATGGCCTAGCCTGATTGCTATTTCCCACAGTATTTCTGGTTACCACATGAGTTTCTCCCAATCACAGGTTTTGCTGCTCTCCTGCCTGCTTGTGCAGCTTCAGCAAAGCTTATAAATATGGAATGCCCATTGTGTATTCTCTGCAGTCTTTTCTCTCACACCATTTTACTTCAGTTTGTTCTTGTTTGAAAAAAAAAAAGTCTTTGACATAATTTTCTCTGGAGGTTGACTTGACTGGCTGCCCTCTCTCCTTGTGAGGTTCATCACCTCTAGTTAGCTTTTATTCCTCCTTTAAATGTCAGACAAGGGTCTTGTACTTTGTTAGGCAGACAAGCAATGGTCAGCAGAATTGATGCGTATCTTCAAAGATCCGTGGCTTACTTGACTGCATATACGTATGAACATTGTATTAATGTCAGTCAACTAACAGGGATGATTCTCTCACAGAAGCATGATGGCCACTTCACTGTCATCCAGTTGGTCGGCATGCTGCGGGGTATCGCATCAGGCATGAAGTATCTTTCTGATATGGGATATGTTCATCGAGACCTGGCAGCCAGAAACATACTGGTGAACAGCAACTTAGTGTGCAAAGTCTCTGACTTCGGTCTCTCCCGAGTACTGGAAGACGATCCAGAAGCAGCGTATACAACAACTGTAAGTTCCGTGCCCTCGTTCCATCGCCGTGTTTGCTTTCAGTTCTTGAACGCTGTTAGAATAATGGTTCGTGTTTCCTTGATTTCATGTTCTCATTTTCTATTTGTTCTTACTAATATGTTACTTAGTTAACAGGATTTCTTATATTTGAAGGCTCAGAGGATTGTTGCTGCTGTTGTTGTTGTTTTAAGAAAAAAAAAGACTTCTTAAATTTTATCTTTGGGCTTCTGATGTGCTAGGACTTCGCGATCATGATGGAGATGTGTCTCATGACTGCCTTCAAAATGAACCTGCCCTTGCTGGAGATATTTTATCTGTTTAATAAGTATTCTTTAAATAGACCTCTTTATGGGTCATCAACATTGCCTTTAATACTTCAAGGGTAATTAATAAGGACCCAGTGATTAGGAAATGTCACCTTTTTTGGTAGCTATTATCAGATGATCCAGATGCACGTATAAATGAATAACAAGTTTCTTTGGAGACATATAAAGGTTCTCTAAGCCATTTTTAAATTGTACTTGGGGGGAAAGGAAGCAAGAATAAAAGGCTAACTCTTTAAAACAAAACTATCAAGTTAAATTATATAATGTGAACTACACCATGAGTATCTTAAATATTTTTTAATTGCTCCAAGACAATTCACTGTATTCATCTCCTTGGATATTGCTTTGAAGAATTTAGTCTTAACATCTCTGTTGAAGTATATTAATTCTGTTGATTTTCAGTTTAACTGTCATCATTTGTATATTAAAATTCTCACCAATGATTCATTTGAGATTTAAATCAGCATCAGTGAAAGAGCACATCAATGAGACTATCCAAAACATATTTACTGTTTTTCCATCTTTTAACCTTGCAAATAATTTTTAGATGGCACCCCATTAATTAATTCTCCTTTATTTCATTTTCTATCAAATATTTTGAAGTTTCACTGTATTCAATCAGTCTTGAGGTAGATGGAGATTTTATATCATTAATAAAAAATTTATGCCCTTATTATTTTTTTGCAATGTCCTGTGATAATTTATCAACATTTTCACAGTTTCAATATAAAATAGAGATCTATAGAAAATAAATTAATCTCTAATTCTGATATGTGAGGTACACGTATGTATTGATCTTTTAGTTTAACCAAATACTTTATAAAAATAAAAATGTATAGAACCTGAAAATACATTAGTCATTTTAGAGAAAAAAATGGTATTTTAAACTCCATCTTCTATTTAGAAAATATTGTAGCTATTTTCACTTTTCTGAAGACTTTTTAAATTTTCTTTCTTCATTTTTTTTATTACATTTTTGTTTTTACATCCCAACCCAAGTTTCCCCTCCCTCCCTTCCTCCCAATTTCCTCCATCTTCCCTCTACTCCCCCCATCACTATCATCTACTCCTCCTCCACTATTTTTCTTCAAATACAGACTGGCCTTCCATGGATATCAACCAGCCAAGTTGCAGTAAGACTTGGCTCCTCCTCTTCTATTAAGGCTGAATGAGGAATGGGTCCCAAAAGCAGGCATCAGAGTCAGAGACAGCCCCTGCTTCCACTGTAAGGGTCTCACAAAAAGATATCATTACACAAAAGTAACATGGATGCAGAGGGCCTAGGCCAGTCCCATGCAGGCTCCTTGGTTGTCAGTTCAGTCTCTGTGAGCCTCTATGAGCCCAGGTGAGTTGATTCTGTGGGTTTTCTTGTGGTGTCCTTGACCCCTATGGCTCATACAACCCTTCATCCCCCCTCTTCCATAGGATTCTCCAAGTCCTCCTAATGTTGGACTGTGGGTCTCTGAATCTGTTCCCATCAGTTGCTGGGTGAAGCCTCTCTGATAACAGTTGGGCAAGGCACCAATCTATTGGTTTCCCAGTCCCTCCACTAAAAGTCTTACCTGGTTAAGGAGATGGGTGGTAAAGGCTCCATATCCCCTATTGCTAGGAATCTTAGTTCGGATCACCCTCATAGATTCCTGGGAGTTTCTGTTGCTCTAGGTTTCTAGCTCACCCCAAAGATGCCCTCAGACTCTGGTTGTCTCTCCTGGTACTCTCTCCCCTCATCCTTCCCCCACATGATCCCTCTTGTTCCCATGCCCCATCCCCCTTGCCCATGTCCACTGGGAGTGTCTATTTTATTTCCCATTCACAGTGAGATTCATGCATCCCACCCACCACCTTGAGCGCTTTGTTACTTAGCTCCTATGGGTTGTAGCATGTTTCTCTTTTGCTTTATAGCTACTATCCATTTATGAGTGAGGAAAAACCATGTTTGTCTTTCTGGTTCTGGGTTACCTCACTCAGGATGATCTTTTCTAATTCCATTTACTTAACAGCAAATTTCCTATTCATTGTTTTTAATGGCAGAGTAATATTTCATTGTGTAAATATACATTTTCTTTATCCATTCTTCATCTGAGGGGCACCTAGATTGTTTCCAGGTTCTGGCTATTGCAAATAAAACTACTATGAATATAGTTGAGCAAGTGTCCTTGTGGTATGGTGGAGTGTCCTTTGGGCATATGCCCAAGAGTGGCATAGCTGGGTCTTCAGGAACATTGATTTCCAATGTTCTAAGAAACTGCCATATTGATTTCCAAACTGGCTATACACATTTGCACTCCCACCAGCAGTGGAGAAGTGTTCTCCTTGCTCCATATCCTCTCCAGTATGAGCTGTCACTTGTGTTCTTTATCTTAATTCTGACAAGTGTAAGATGGAATCTCAGTATCATTTTGATTTGCATTTCCCTCATGGCTAAGGATGTTGAACATTTCTTTAAGGTTTCTGGGCCATTTGAGATTCCTCTGTTGAGAATTGTTTAGATCTATACTTCATTTTTTAATTGGATTATTTGTGGTTTTTATGTCTAGTTTCTTGAGTTCTTTATATATTTTTGATATCTTCTCCAATTTCTTTCTTCAAATACTTTGCAGTTCTTGTCATAGAGGTCTTTCACTTGCTTGGTTAGTTACAAGATATTTTGTATTATTTGTGGCTATTTTCTTTCTTCATTTTTATAAACCCATAACTTATACCAATTCTTAGGGTTAAAGATTATTTTATAAAATATTAATTGTAATTTTTAAAATTTATAAATTTGCTACACATGCAATCTATCTAAAATACAAGAAAGTAACTGATGAGCTCTTTATGTGTGTGTGTGTATAATATACACATATATGTATATATAATGTATACACTCAAATATATATAGATACACATATATACACACATTTTGTGTATATACATATATATAAGGATATATATATATATATATATATATATATATGGAACACCTTATTAGGTAATAACTTAATTGTTCTTTAAAATAAGAAGCCCATACCTATATTTAATATCTTCATAAAACTAACAGGTAACCTAAAATCATGTATATACATGATTGATTTGACCCCAAGCCTCTGAGCACTTTCTGTTACATAGCTACTAACAAGGTTAAGAAGTTTAAAATACAGTTGCTTTAGACCTAGATTATATTTTAAAATTAAGTATAAAATTAAGAAGCCAGCATATTAGAATCCAATGACAACAATTCTCAAGCCATAGATTGTCTTAAGATGTGTTTCTGAATTTAAAAGATCAGTAAATGTGAAATAATATAATCAAATATTTTTACAGATCTCAAAATTACCATGCTACTAAGAGAATTTTTAGGTATGAGGAAAGCCAGGGGTGGTGGCACATGCCTTTAATCTTATCTCTCAGGAAAAATAGTTAGAGGATCTATGAATGAGTTCAATCTGGTCAATATAATGAGTTCCAGGCCAGGCAAGGTACATAGTAACACTGTCACACACACACACACACACACACACACACACACACACACACACACACAACTAGGGGGGAGGAAAGGGTAAGGAAGAAAAGAAAGACAAAGAGAACAAGGGAAAAAGTTGAAGTATAATATAAATATCATTAATTTGATTACTTGCCTTTATAATGGGTATGGATATTCAATCCTAAAATAATGAGGCCATTTCTTTCAAAGACTTCATTATTTTAAGAGCAGACAGTCTTGTGCATCCCAGCAATTTGATACATTTAGTGTTGTTCTGGAGGTCTAAACAAGAAATATGGTGATAACAAGGATAAGTAGCTTAAACAAGGCTTTATAGAATGGCAAAGATACTGTCATGACATAAAAAATAAAGACAGACTGTCTTTGTTAGGGTTTCTATTGCTGTGAACTGATACCATGATCATGGCACTCTTATAAAGGAAAACATTTAATTGAGGTGAATTACGTTTTCAGAGATTTAGACCATTATTATCATGGTGCAACATACTGATGTGCAGGCAGACATGGTCCTGGAGTGGGAACTGAGAATCCTACATCTTGAACTACAGGCAACAGGAAGTGGTCTGTTTTCCACACTGGGCATTGCTTGAGTATAGGAGACCTCAAAACCCACCCCACAGTGACATACTTCCTCCAATAAAGCCACCCCTACTCCAACAAAGCCACACGTCCTAATAGTGCCCCTCCCTTTGGGGACCATTTTCTTTCAAACCACCCCACAGACTTTTAGATGAAATACATTCCTCATGAGGAAAGAAAATTAGCAGGGAGGACACTGAAATGTAAATGAGTGGACAGGCAGGAAAGCAGATGTGTGAACCTTTAGAAATGGAGTCCAGGAAAAATGATTGGGGTGGTGGATTCACTTCTTCAGCAAAAATTTTCAAGGTTCTTGAATGGAACTCCAAGGAATTTGAAGGTTTTTCTATGGGAACTACAAAGAAGCCTCTGAGGTGCACGAATACAAAAACAAAACAGTAGATTCGTGTCATAGATGTTGCTGAAAACAAAAAAGAAAGGAGTGGAAGTTTGAAGGATGAGAGAAACTGGTAGTAGACTTTCCAAGTAGGCATCAGCCCTGCAGACTCCAAAGCTCACACAGGCTTGATTAAAATAAGGGCAGCTAGGATAAAAAGGAAAAGAAAGGGTCAAAATCATTATGACCATATAATTTTCAAGATCCAATG